GCTCCCTCCACGAGGAACTCGTGCTCCCTCAAGTGGAGTATTTTCCCTTCATGTTGCAGAACAGTGTACAGTACAGTGCTGGAGCTCCTGCAGGATCGGTTATCTTAGTAACATCTCTTAAGAGAGAAGGGGAGACCTTTAGGCCCTGTCGGTTGCCCCATCATGCTTAGACTTTGCACCTGGTTTCATGGAAGTCTTTCTACACCCTAGTCCGGAGTATGTTCCTAAGGTCCTCACTAATGTGGCACGACCAGGAAAAGCTAAATCTGCTGTGCCCAGTTAGGTCATTCAGATGCTTACATTCACAGAGCTGTGACACAAAGCTGATCAGTTGTTTGTGTGCTTTGGGTCCGTGAGATGAGGAGCCCCAGCATCCAAGCAGAGAATGAGCAATCTCTCTTGCATATGAAGCATCTGGACAGCCTTCGCCTATGGCTGTCACAGATCATTCAGTAAGGAGTGTGGCGGCTTCAGAAGTGTTATTGTCAGTGGACTTCCTACAAGATGAGAACAAGAAGTTGACATTGTTGGGTCTGGGTGCTATTTATAGAGCTTCCTGGTTAGGATGTCATCTGTTGCGTGATGATGCCATGCTATTGGACTGGTTTCAAATGCTTCAAGAAGCAATTATGCAGAAGCATTCCCATAGCGGCACTACTTCCAATGCAGCATCTCGTTCCCTTTTCAGGGAACTGTGGTTGCACTCGTAACCTGAGACATTTTACTGACTCTGAAGCATTTCCTTAGATCTGTAATTGTCCATTACTTGCATAATGTGTGCAGAAGTGCAGGCTTCCAGCTTACTTTTCTCGTGAAACCAAATATACATCGCTTGTTAACAGAGATGTGTGACGTAATAGCATCCTATACAAATATAGCCTATACATGAGAACTACAACAGTTAATGCAAGATATTTCCGCATGTCTGCAAGAAAGGGATTTGTTAAAGAGGTCTAGATTTAGTCTTGAGGGCAGCACTTGTTATCATCATTAATGAATAACATACAGGAACAAATGAGTAACACGATATTAACATCCCGGAAACTATCATTAACTGACAACAATCTCAATTAATTAGCAGCCAGTTAAATACGGGAGTTCACTATTAGCTGATCAACAGCTAGCATTTTTTTTCATAATCAATGTAAAAACTAATCAATTCAAGACAAATAACTAGCACTACATTAACATTTTAGGTCTATATTTGATCATTCTAGTACAGATCTATTTACTTACTGTAAATCACATTTTTAAATGCAGTTAATCACAGGACCAAAAAACAAACAAACTTGTTTTTACATTATTATTGCTACTTAAAAAGAAGACAACTTGGTTTCGTGTCAGCTAACTCTCAGTACAGAGGAGATCTGTTCCCTCTTTTTCAAACTGCAGGCGAAGACTCTCAGATCTTTAAACTCTCTTTTAAGCTCTGCCTGAGGACGACTGATGAGCATTTTCCTGTAGTTAAGCAGCATTAAATGTCAGCACATTACCAGAGCAAACACTAACACCTCGTCATACTGGGTTTGCATTCGCTTCGAGTGGAATCCATCTTCCTTCTCACTCTTTGTTTAGTATGAACTATTTAAACAGAAAGTACAATGAGATGCAGTCTGCACATGAATGATCTATTCACACTGAAAGTGGAATGAAATGCAAATTCAGTGCAACACAAACTATAAGAAGAAGAAGTTCCACACTCAGTTCAGCAAAACCAAACCAACACAACTCACATAAGCAGCAAAGCATTGATACATAAATTGAGATTAAGCCCATAAAGTGTATTTTATAATTTAATTAATGATTTCATAATCAGTCTTTGAATATAGAACATTTGAATATTAACATCGAATCTGTTTTGCACGTGTGAGAGTAAAGAGTGCTGTTGCTGCAGAATCTGCCTCTGTTTTCTCCCTTTATAGATAATTACACTTTATAATGTATTTTTTAGTGTACATTAATCCAAACAAGTTCAGCCTTGAACATTTCCCCCTTTTCATATTTTTCTTCAAAAACATTAAATTAATCATTAAAGAGATGAAGTACTAAGTATGCAAGTACACAAGTCTCTAAATAATAGGCTTTTTAATAGGCTAAGTAAAACTGAAACACTTTATTTTAGAGACCACCTGACCGTTCACAAAGAGCTTGATTGACAGGTGATCTGACCAATCATAACGCCGAACCCGTCATCTTGTCCGACAGCTACGGCTGCAAACTAACAATAAATTACATTTTTTACCTATTAGATTGTGTTTTATTAACGTCTACACCTACCCCAACCCTAAACAATAATGCAAAAACAGTAATTATTGTTGTACAGTGTGACAAAAAATACGCTATATTGATGTGCGCAAACTCAGGAGCCCAACCACAAATCAGACAGGAGAGTAGATTAACTTAGATTGCTTTATATCTAGACCAAGGCATTCAGTTAGACTAGTTTTACCTATAGCTGGAACAGGAGAAAAGAGAACATAAGAGCTAAAGGAGGGCAGATAGACACAAGACTATATCAAAACCATAAGTGTTTATACAGTGAAGCCAAACTCTCCTTGAGAAACTGAGCTGGTCTGTCCTGATCATTTGGCAGCAAATGGCAGAGATTCAGGTTTAGATCCAGCACAGTAACACAATCATGCAAAAACACTGAAACGTATACATATTCCAGTGTACTAAGCACTTGGTTAATGTCTGTGTTCATTTTATTTCTCAAAGGCTTTTCACAATACACATTGTTTCAAAGCAGCTCAACCAGACTGAGATGTGCTATTAGTACAGTATATGGTTGTATGTGAGTGTTTTGCAGTGATATTGATGATTATGTTCTCAGTAAGCTAAACACTAACCATGTTTTTCTTCATTACAAGTGATTCTGTATTTAATATAATCTGGGTCATATTTTCTTTTACAATTAATAGTTTTGTTCATGGAATCTTTAAAGAATGTAATGTGTTTCTCTTTCGTTCTGCATGAGACTCTCACACACACACACACACACACACACACTCACTCACTCACTCACACACACACACACACACACTCTCACACACACACACACACACACTCTCTCTCTCACACACACACACACACACACTCTCTCTCTCACACACACACACACACACACTCTCTCTCTCACACACACACACACACACACTCTCTCTCTCACACACACACACACACACACTCTCTCTCTCACACACACACACACACACACTCTCTCTCTCACACACACACACACACACACTCTCTCTCTCACACACACACACACACACACTCTCTCTCTCACACACACACACACACACACTCTCTCTCTCACACACACACACACACACACTCTCTCTCTCACACACACACACACACACACTCTCTCTCTCACACACACACACACACACACTCTCTCTCTCACACACACACACACACACACTCTCTCTCTCACACACACACACACACACACTCTCTCTCTCACACACACACACACACACACTCTCTCTCTCACACACACACACACACACACTCTCTCTCTCACACACACACACACACACACTCTCTCTCTCACACACACACACACACACACTCTCTCTCTCACACACACACACACACACACTCTCTCTCTCACACACACACACACACACACACGCACACAGACACACACACACAGACACACAATCAGACACTCACACACAGACACACACACACACACACAAATTGATAATGTTTCAATTCAGTAAACATATAATCTCTTTGTTTTTGCTAACTATTACAGCAATCCAGCATGTGAGCATCTGTGGAAGTGCATCAAATGACCGTCTGCCATTAACTGATGTACTGCATGTGTTGGTGAAGGTGATTTTTAACACTACCACACCAAGTCTGGATCTCCTCAGATCACGTTATTGAAAACTGTGCTCAGTGTTAATATTTACATGGTCACACTTTATTTTAAGGTCCAATTATCACTATTAACAAACCATTAACTATGACTTTTGCCTCAACAAACTCTAACTTGCTGTTTATTAATAGTTAGAAAGGTAGTTGTTAAGTTTAGGTACTGGGCAGGATTAGGGATGTAGAATATGTTCATGCAGAATATGTGCTTCACAAGCACTAATAAACAGCTAATATGTTAATAATAAGCAAGTAGTTAATAGTGAGAATTGGTCTCTATACTAAAGTGTTACCGTTGTGTGTGTGTGTGTGTGTGTGTTTTTTTACATGTATCTGTTTTGTATTCAGTGTTTACAAAGAAATTAACTAACTAACAGGTGTATGGTTGTGCACTTTGTCTTAAATAATTATTTTATGTCTTGTTGGTCAGCCGGTAAAGCGTGGTGCCAGAAACGGCAAATCTGTGACAAATTTAATTCCTACGGAGCACACAAACTGATATTTGTAAACATTGAAGAGGCATGAAATTAAAATGTATAATGCATGTTATAGATATGAATGTAAACACCATAACTGGATCTTCCAGTGAAACACCAGGCTTCTCTCTGTGATCTCCTGTCATTTAGTGTTATTAAGCTCCGCCCCTGCAAACTCACACTCATCTGCAAACATGTTTGAGAGCCACGCCCACATCTCAACATCCAATCAACAACAGCACAGAACCAAGCCCCGCCCTACATGTGTTACTTTTTGAACCATCGTTACACTCAGACGTACATCACAATAAAGAAGAAACATCTGCCCCTGCTTAGTTTCTTGGTGACTTTAAATGCACAGTATGTACCCTATAGTAGCTGCATTAGCTGCACACTGAAACGTGCTGAGAGCTTCACGCTAGAGAAGGTAGAGACGGTCAGTGAGGCCTAAACTGACAAGGAAAAATTACAAACTTAACCCGTATAATGTAAATAAGGTCGTAAACCGCTTTGGAAAAAAGCATCTGTATGAATGTAATTTAAATGGCTAGACAGCAAAGATGAAGCAGTTTTGAGTTATTGAGATGAATGTTTCATTCAGTGCAATATTGCTAATGTGTGTTTATTGCTTTGCAGCACTTCTTACGACCAGACCACCAAAAGTGCTGTTCCCGTCAGAGAAACAGGCCAGTGTCATAGACGTCCAACTCGGTGAGTCCCATATACAGACACACATCCACATCAAGCACACAAAACACATGCCCTTTTCCTTCATAGAAGTGTTCTGCTGCAGTCATGCGTGATGAACTTGGCAGAAATAAAACTGCTAACATGCTCATGTCCTCGACTGAAAGAGTGCATGAAATCAACATGAGGGTTTTGTAGCATGTAGTCCGTCTCTGGCAGCTTTGAGCTCATCTTTATGTATACTTTATATATAAAAGGAAGAATATGACAAAAGGGTGAATATGCTTGGCTTATAAGCAAACTTCCATCAGCAGCATGTAAACATCTCTCATAAATATCCAGCTGCTGCTGCAGGTTTATTTGCCCTACATGTTTAGCAATGCTTAGCAAATGGACAATTAGGAGAGGATGCTGCGAATGTGGCAATGTAATTATCGTGCAAGTGGAAATGGTCTCTGGTGCTGTAAAATGCATTTGATTAATTTTAATGATTGCATGAACGAGGAATATATTCCATGTTGCTGCGAGATCTCTGCAGGGCCAGCAGAAGCAGCAAACCAAGCCATTTTGAAGGGAAGAAAATATTGCCAACATTACATTTGCATTCATCTGATAAATACCTCTTGAATGAGTTTCAGTATATGTTTAGTGAACCTATCTGCTTGAACTCATTCACATCAGTGTTGCATCCAGTAACAAGCTACTAGTAGCAGTGAAGCGCAACAAAACACAACATTTTTTGCCTTTTTCCCTCAATTGTGCAAAACACAACAAAATGCAGACACACACTGAAATAGTGTGCGGTTCCCATGTAAAAGAGCTATATCTGATAAACAATGCCAAAATATTCAACCAGATTTTAGCTCCAGATCATAGTGAGCTGTCTACCTAGACAGTGTTTTTTAAGGCATTATGGGCCAGATTTACTCGCAGCTTGTGCCAACGCAACCCTCCTTTGGCAGTAAACAACTACTGTCAGGATTTACTAATGACTTATTTGCCCTGTTGAATAAATCTGGCCTGTAAGTTCAATGCACAGGCCTTTCCAGACAGAAGACAGCAGCACTGTGCTGCTTTATAAGATCTCAATCTGGCTCAGATCTGAGGCAGACTACATACTATGAGAATCTTTGCAAGTATATGTCAACCTATTCTACTAAACCTAAGCTACTGTTACAGTCTACTCTGAGAGTTAGTTGACATGTAGTTGCAAAGTTACTTATAGTTAGTAGAATGTCTGAAGTGGACCGTGTAAGCGCACAGTATAACACTAACCGCTGATTTGAGCTCTGCAGCGTTTGTTACTGTACTCCTCTGACACAATCAGTCCAGTGCATATATAACACTCACACACAAGTCTCTGTTCCTGTCAAACTCCCCCTCTTTCTTTTCAAAGTGTTTACTCCTGTCTGGATGTGTTTGTGACGCTCCTCGTCCGACCTCGGGCTGTTGTCAGGAGCAAAATAGCTGGAGATTTTCTCATATTTAATCTGTCAGCTCCCGCTAAATTATAACGCATTACTCCACGCGCTGACAGCACAGCAAATGGACTTCGAGTCCTTGAAATGTCAACTGTTTCTCAGTAAGTGAACTGCATGCAAGACGACTCCTTTTAGCGCTAGAGATCTGCAGGCGCTCCACGAGAAGTCCATTTGCTGGAGGCGCAATTAAAGTGTCGGTCAGAAGTGTCTGTTGCACAATGAAATTATCTGTACATATTCTGTCCTAGTGACATTTACAGGAGTAAGGCAGCATCTGCTTCACAGAGCCAGAGCACAGAAGAGATGACATGAGTTTCTGTACAGAAGACCTGGATTAATGACTGCGGCTGATCAACCACAGAGTAATGAATCATTCTGCCAATCTGGACTCGTTGTTTGATCCGGCTGCCACATGTCAAGAGATTTTACCCAAAATCAGATGAAAAAGTGCATGGTAAAACGGGTCACGTGGTGAATGTTGATCGTTGTAAATCGGTCCGGTAGGTCCAGGCCTGTTCTTTGAGCAGTGTCTCTCTTCTCTCGCTCTGCCTCCTGCTCGTGACAGTGATGCTCACCTCGGGTCACAGCAGCCACATCACCTGTGCTCATAGCGCAGATGGACTGACCGGCTCCCTAAACCAGACCACATGCTCACAACTTCTGAGAGTTTGGAGGTGAACTGTGCCATTTCTGCACCAAACCAAATAACACAAAGCAAGTGTTAGCTTTTCTGTGGATAATGTAAGTGCTGAACGCGCCGGCACAATGCTGGAGTGTTTCTGGTGCTGTCAGGGCATTGCTAAAGTGTTGTGTG